TACAGTATTTTAGCCTCCTCAGACTATACATTTGTGATGTTTCAATCCTTGTCATATGCTGAAACACCTCATTTCTTCTCTTCCTTCTTCTTAAACCATTTCCTTTAGTTTTGGTTAAATAACAGTAAAACCTGACTGTGAAGCCAGACTGTAAAACAAAGCCCCACCAGTAACTTCTTTTGAAAAACAGAGTCACTTCCTTCTGAAACCAGAGGCCTGTTTCACTTGTCCGGGAAGGTGTGACCTGAAGCAGATAAAGGATTTTTTTACCTCCTGATTAAATCACTCTGAGTGAAAGACCACCTCTCGTCACTTAAATGTGTCAAACCCATAAAAGTATGTAAATAACTGTTGGACTAATTGCTTCACTTTTATTGCGCCACAGAAATTCTGTGTTATTTATATTTTTCATGAGTAAAGTTTGGCCATGTTACTGATACTAATTACCTTTCCAAATATGTGATCACTGTAGTTTTGTAATAGAAAATGTATTTAATATTTGTATTTAATTTATGGTTTTGTTGTTGTTATTGCATTAGGACGTTGTGACCTACATAGGTTTTAGGTTTGTATCTTTTACGTTATATTAATCTTTTATGGTTTAATTTTATACCAACCAGGACTTCTGAGAGTAGCGAAACATAAGGGGACAACTGGTCGTACTGTTTATGTATTAGCCTATCAAAGCATATGTCCGAGCTAACAGTACATTTACACAGAATATATCAATTACCATTTCTATTTCCTTTCCTTAAACTCCTTCCTATAACAATGTAAAAGAATGGTGTGTGTGATGGTGTGCATGAAGAAATCTGAAATAATCGCAGTCTTATCAGTGTCTACAAATTGCTGATCATGTCTTAACGTGCCAGTATTAATGTCTAGTCATGCTTGTTGCAGTCAGTTCTCACCAAATGAGCGAAGGTTAGAACCAACACCTCACCTTTCCATACCTAGCTTTAGTTTTGTTATTGTTTGCTTTTAGAAAGATATGTTTTATTGTTATTGGCTCCATGTACAGAAAGTACAAGATAATTGAAATTCAGCTTCTCTCTCACCTTAATATAAAAAGAAGACTTAAGAAAAGATAAATGATGTTTAAGGGAATATATAAAAATCAAATCTATGTACAATAGTGGCAGTAGTGCAAGTGCAGTAGCAGACATTTGCATGGACAGTAGTGGAAACGACCAACAGCAGCAGGAATGGCAGTGATGCAAATGGTTGCAGTAAAGTGCCAAAGACAGTCGGCAGCGTTAAAAGATTTGAATGTGTTGATTCCTTTTTGAGTCCATTATGTAGTAGCATGCTTGCTATAACCCTCCACTTCACAGGCACATCATTTAGAGCAGCTATTCTAACATCAAGGAACACAAGTTGTTGTTTTTCTCCGTGCCATGACCCAGCCCATTCTCAAAACAACTCAAGAATGACAAAGTTATGTAAGACGTCTCTGATGCAATTACAAAACATCACTGTGCCTTACTTGATCGCACTCGTCAAACGGGACACTTGTCATACCATACATGGACAAAAAATCTACCCCTATCATGTTGTCTATTGTAGCAGATGTTTCGCAACACAACAGACGACCCATAAATCTATAGTTACCATTCCTGTTTTCATAACTCCACGCCTCAACCAACTTCCCCTTACAGGTGAACTTGTTTATCACTGAACACAGTTTACCAATGCGTGTGGCGCTCGAGTAAGAAAGCGGGCAGAAAAAGGCACTGCTGTCACACTGACATGATGCTCGCATTTGGATAAAATGGATTTCGAAGGTTTTTTGCAAGCATATGATGCGATTCCTGGTCAAGGACTTAGCAACAAGTTGCAAACGACAAATGTGATACAAAGTAACAAATACAAGATACAATATATTTCCTTAAATGTAAGTATAACGTAAATACAGAAGCTCTAAGTTAAATGTATTAATGGCATTGACATTTTGTCTTATATAGACTTTTGAAACAACCAAATAAATAAATAAACAAATAATTTGGTAGGCTAATTAAAATTCTCTGCAACCATATTTTGAATTACTCCCCCAGTAAAAAGATGTCAGTGGTACCTTCTGTGCTCTACGCTTGTTTTCATGTTCTGAGTTGATCGCTTTAGTGAAGTATTTTTTAAAAAGACTTAGAGTCTACCACCATAATAATGGCTCTGTGGGCCTTCATAGGAGTATTAGCATGTCAAACATCAGCATTAAAGGTGTCCACCGGGAGCTTCTTGTAATGGGTTTTCATGCCTGAGCAGTTCTTATATTTGTAATTTGCAGGTGGCCCAGTGATTTTGTGCATATCCTCCGCATGAACTTGAAGGTATTAAATAAAAATCTGTCCTCAGTAAATTTCATAGAAATCTATTCAGCAGCTTTATGGAATTCTTAAAGCAAAACTTGAAACACTGAGTCACTGAGCATCATTTTTCATATCTCTGGGTCACGTCAGCACGTTATTCTGTTTCTTGTACCTGGAGGGTTTCAGGCTTGACGCCAGACTAACAGGTAGGTTACTTCAGGCCAGTGTGATGCTCGGCATCTGACAAGGATCGTTTTAAGGTAAAAGTTCACAGCATTCTTTTTAGCGTTCTTTTTATAGTGCTTGCTGCGATAGAGGCTGGAGGAACCGCTATCGCTTCAATGGGACTCACAGATAGCAAACTGGAATGCAGCCTTCATTGTTGAGCGCTGCAGATAGGCATCAATAAATGGCATTTGATTTAGAGCACTTGGAAAAAGGAGAACTGGCCATAACACAGCTCTACCATGAATGGATTCAAGTTTACAGTGTAATTTTACTTCCTTAAAAGTTTTCTGCTTACTGAGTTTCCAACTACAGAGATGGTCCATCTATCGTTTTTATGAGGCTGCATGACAACCAGGACAGAGGTTACAAAAAATCCTGTAAATAAGAGGGCAACTCTCATAACAATTTGTTCCCAGTGACCACAGAAACCTGTTCTTTGGAACAAAGCCTAATTTCAAGTTTCAGGTTCACTGGAACTGGAATGGCCTTCAGGTCTGGGTCACTCATTATCCATTTCTATAGCTTCCACACCTTGGCTCAGGCGATTAGAGGATCATCAGGGGGTCCTTTTGTCCCTCTGTGGGGGGTTACTCCCACTAGGTTTATATCTGGGACTCTCCACCATTTGACCTTAGAACTGAAGAAGCTTCTCGGATTAGAGGTGAAACGTCTTCAAGCAACTTAAAGAAGTCCAGACGCTTTTCTTTGCAAGCTCCTTTGACTGTCTTATTGGAAGTGCAAATTCCTGAATCCTGTCTTGGCTCAGCTGTGAAGAGTGCTGACTTTGACCATTCGAGCAGCTGTTTTATTAGTGAAGTGTTGCAGTATCTTGGACTGCCCGTTCTCCTGAGGATGCCTTTGTTTGCCAACAATTACTTATAATTACTCCTTCAAAGACTCGCTAATTGGTTTCAGTCACAAGCAGGAGTCGGGGGATTTGAAATAAGAGGCGCCAACTGGTTTTTGAAGAACTGGGTGTGCCTGTATCCACCAGAGCCCCTGGTAATTATGTGGCTAATTGTAAAATCTAAAGAATAATTTGTCTTTGACTGCTGGGGATTGTCATGCTTTGTGTGGTGCCCCATCCTCTCAACTGGGGGAACAAAGAAGCAGTCTCTCCAATGCAACATGGTGCAACATGCCTTTACATGCTCAAGGACTGCAGCTGCACCCCTTCCTACGGGACGTCTTGGCTGGATGCTGAGTCTGTTCTTGCCTCCCGGTGTAACATACGTAGGTGGGTGGGTGCATGTCTGAGATGATCCATTATGTCACCAGAGCCCTAAGAATAGTTTCTGTGTGTCCCGCTAAGGTACTGAGGCAAATGTGACGTCCAGAACTTAGCTGTTGTTGGGCCAAACCCAGCAGAAACAGAGGCCCTACTGTTTCACAGCGTCAGGCACACCCAGCCGCACACACACACGCACAAATGTACGGACACATGGAACCGTTTAAAGTTTTCCTCTGCCACTGTTCGAAATGCCCCCAGAATAAACACCCAGAGCAGATCTGAACCAGCAAGGCCAACGATCCTCATTAGAGAGGCTGTGACGCAATGCGATGGTAACGAAAGTTAGTGGGTTTCAGATGTTTGCTCAGTGTGGTATTGCACATGTGGTTAAATAAAGAAATGTGAAACTGCTGGAGGAGCACGGTGACACGAAATATCACAACTTTTTCTTTTTTTCGTTTCACCTACTTTTGGAGAATGACAAGAAATATAGCAAGTCTTAATCTTCTTCTTCTCCTTGGATCATCTAGCTCCATATCAACCGCTGTCACACTACGTGTCCTCATTCACTTCCTCTAGATTCCAGCAAATGAAAAAGGCAAGACTGACAGAAATAAAATTAAAATTAAAAACAAGCTGTGTGAAATACCTATTTCAAACTGAATATCTATGGATGTTTGACCTTTACTTGGACGAAAGGAGCTCTCTAAAAGTGAGAACCTGGACCAAAAAAGGGAAATTTAGATCATCAGATCATTAATTTCCACATTTCGCGACTAAATGTGCAGGATTATATTTGCATGATAACAAACTGGGTCAGTGGATCAGGTTGCCTGGTTAAATAATGCTGCTTTTGATTACTCTGTGCACTGTAGAGCTTTTTTTTTTTTATTGTTGTCACCCATATTCTATATAATGTGAAAATATTATTATTTCTGGAGAAGTGTGTGTAAAAATGACAATGCTTCCCGTTGTGAGAAAAATATAAAAGAAAATCCAGGGTACTTGACCGCCCTGATACTACAGTGAAAATGTAAATAAGTCATAAATTAAGACAACAGTTCCAGTAAGTGAAAGCGGGTCTATTGTTGCCCGCCCCGTCTTGCCTGTAAATCCCTCTCTTATAAATCATCGCTACTGCCCTGTGGCCCCCACCACAGCACCCCCGCTCTGCTCGGACGCAAACGCTCGTTCGCGTGTGACGTGCTCGCGCCTGCGCTGTTTAAAAACGGCGGTCCCACGGGCGCTCGCCTCATCCAACGTTTCAGAGAGCAGAGAAGAGAGGTGCGAGTCAGTCAGTCAGCTCTCTAACCGCACAGAGTTCACACAGAGAGGAGCTTCGGAGTTGCTTTGCGGTTACAGACAGCCGCGCTGTTCTGTGCAGGATTGCAGTTTCACCTGCCCGAGATCACGGGACGCTACGGTTCACCTGAGCGGCACCAAAACGTCGTTTGCATGAAACTGAAGCCAGGTAAGTTTCACGTCCTAACAAGTAATTTGGTTGTCGTGTAGCGCTCTAAACGATGTGTAGAAAACAACAACAGTTTGATAGGTGTTGAAACTCGGCTGGGAATATCTGCTGAGCAAATATAGGAGGGTTTTCTCAGCAAGTTTTAAGCCCAAGTTTGGAGACACGTCGGGTCTAGCCGAACCCCGCAGCAAAATCAGCTCTTTTATTGTTATCTCGTTTTTTCTAATAATATTCACTTCGCACGCTAACTTTGAGTTATTTTCAATCATCTTTTAGATTTTGGTTGTCAATTCGGCTTGGATGTATTGAGCGAAGAACTGAAGCAACTGCTTACTGACAGTCTTCTCTTCTTATTTTCTACAAACGAAAGCATCACAAAGCCTACGTGCCACTTATTTTGGATGGAGGGTTATTCCGGGCATCTATGAACGTGTTCTGCGTGAAATAAACAGGCTCACATGCTCGGGGTAAATGCAAACACAATGTTCTTTCCACTTCCAGAGATTGTAGATATTTGCATGAGCTAGTTTTATATTTGCGTGCACGAGAAAACGACAGTGTATTCTGATGCACGTGAAGTGTTACCTGGATGGAAATTTGGGATTACATTTCTCTGATTGTGCGTCAGAGACTTCGGTTAAATGCAAAAGTGTGTGTGTGTGTGTGTGTGTGTGTGTGTGTGTGTGTGTGTGTGTGTGTGGGTGGACCCACACAATTAACTGTACCTGTCCATGTGTGCACTGGTCATATGTAACTGTACCAAAACCTGCAGGTTTGGGCTCTACCTTTGCTGTGCTGTAGGCTGAACCTGCAGCTCTTTCATGAGATGACACACTTTTCATAAGCATGTCATTGTGTTGCGGGAAAAATGCTTAGGTGGGGGGGGATGCAAAGCTGTTTCCTGCGCAGGGGTTTGAGCAACAATGGCCACCACCTTAGAACAGTCGGCGGTTCTCTGTGCGAGTCACTTCTGAGGAGGGAGCTAGGATGTTGAAAGAATGGCCAAGAAAAGGGAGAGGAAAAAATATAAGGAGCAACACAATGGAGAGCAGGCAGCTCTGTCGGTATGTAGGATAGGAGAGACAATGGGTGGCCAGATGTGGTTGCATAAGACTTTTATTTTTTTATTTCTCTGCAAGATCACAAAAGCCTTTAAGTCCTCCAGAAGTGGTGTAATTGAGTTTGCAATGCACAGTTCGTTTTGAACATGGCCCTAGTGTTTGCCTGTGTCACTTTAGCTTTTTACAGTAATCTTACATTTGTTCTGGCACGTTTCCAGTTCCATCATTGTGTTTGTTTCTTAAGAGTACAGTGACAGCAAAGCCCAAGGCAAACCTGTCTGTAAATATTTAATGGGTGCTGTCTGTCTGTAGGGACTGAATACTTCAGTGACTGTGCAACTTCTGTAACCAAACCTGTTTGGTGACTTTGTCTCTTTCCCATTTGCGAGTTGTGATGACTTGTCTTTTTTTGCATCATACGTGCAACCTTGTTTTTGTTACTTAATTTATTAGAAAGTACATAGCCTCTCATTTTGCCTGATTTATCCCCTGCTCGGCTTATCGGTCGTCTCTATTTGCTAACGTCACCGTCTTCGTCTGCCTCATTTCAGATAAAAGCAGTGGATGCAGCCACGCTCCATTTAAAGGAGGGTGGAAGATTGGGAGACGCGCTGACGAGAACCCGGTTACGACTAAAAGTTCCAAGCCCAGCCTGAAACGCATCATGTCCCTCAGCACCTTCCACCTCATGCAGACCCTGAAGAACTCGCCCGCCGAGCTGCGGCGCAGATTCCGCCGTGACCAGACGGAGTCCTTGTCCCACGGCGACCCTCTGTTCAAAGTGCACTACCTGGGGACGGAAAAGATCTTTTCTCTGGACCGGGAGCAAGCAGAGGAGGCCATTTCTCACTTGCTGGAGGGTATCGCGAACGGGAAGAAGCTCAGGAAGGACCACGCCCTTGTCGTGCGGCCCAGATACGTCGAGGTCAAAGAGCTGAGCACGGGTCGGCAGCTCACGAAGACCTACCTGCAGGACATTGCGTACTGCGCCGCCGACACCAACCGGCCCAACGTCTTCTTGTACATCTGCAAGCACCGGGGGCAGCAGCTGCAGTGTCGGGTGTTCTGGTGCAGCCGTGCGGAGCGAGCGCGGGACATGACCGCCTGTCTGGGACTCTCCTTCCAGCGGGCGATGAGCGACTGGCAGCAGACCGGCGTGGCCACGATGCCGTCGGGAGAGGTGAAAGGAAAACTTCCAGAGGACTCGTCCAATTCTCAAGTCAAAGCAAAGAGCTCCACGCTGCCAGCCGGTTTGGGAAAAGGTGAGAATTCAGCACTGCCACATAAAAGTTGAACCAGGAAGACTTTAAACTCAAGCTAGCCTTATTTGGTGCCAACTTACCCAAACAATCACACAATGTGCCTCTCTCAGATAATGACAACCTAGGCCTGTCTAGAGGCTGGCTTTCACTGTTAATAATTCAGCTGCAGCAGCCAAGCCAACATCCCTGACTCTGTCCTTTTCCTTCACAGTTCGCTGGAGGAAGAGAGGCTCTGTATCCCGCAGCCCCATGAGAACAATCACCAGGAGAGGATCGTCCTCCGACAGCTTGAACTGAAACCTGTTCTTTTTTTTTTTCTTTTTTTTTGTTGTTGTGGTCAGATGTGGGACCACTTTATTGACAACCTCGCTGAAGGGAAGAGACTGATTGAAAAATACAATGAAGACCACAGTGGATGTTAATGAGACATGAGAAAGGTCCATATTTGGATATAAGGACTGGTCATGGGTGGATGCTGCCGTAATCAGTGAGGACTTGGAGATAGGAGATTTTTTTTTCTTTTTGACTGGGCAGAGTTGCCTTTGGACTTTTGCAAGCGCAGAGTCCAACCGGGCACAAGATACTGAACTGTGACAGGCCGCAAGGCTGTGTGAGGACTAGACTGGGACATACCCAAACTGTCTGTCATGGGTTTTTAGTTTTGTTTTTGGGCTTGTTTGATGTTCTGTTTGATGCTGAAGCCACCAGAGACTTTGATCTGCTGGAAAGAGACAGTTAAACCAACCAAGTACCTGCTCTTGGCCAAACAGTGTCCCGGCAAAACTGGAAAAGCACCACGAGAACCTGGAAGTCTTTTTTTTTTTTTTTTTTTTTTTTTTTTTCTTTTTCGAGATTTATTTATATTTAAGTGACACATGTGACAGAGTCATGAAGTAGTTACTGTTCCATTAATGAGCGTTTGTTTTTTTTTGTTTTTGTTTTTTTCCCCTACTTTTGTAGTTGGATGAACAAATTTAAGACGACTAAGACAATGCGGGCATGTCATACCAAAGTAAAGTTTAGTTTGTTTTATCCTTTCCCCACCAAGTCTGTGATATGCATAATTAGTCTGAGCACATTCGAGTCCTTTTTAAGATGATCTCACTCAGGAAATTGAAGTTTTATTGATATGAGGTCAGTTCTCAGTGTAATACATGCCGGAGGGAAAATGGACATTATCAGAATAGAGGTGTTAATAATAATAATAATAATTTAAAAAAGTCTCTGCTTAACCTGCAAAACAAAAAAAGGTCCTAATTGTCTTTAGCAATAAATAATTAGCATTTATGTGAGGGGCGGGGAAGCCTCAGCAGTGACTTGCTGGTTGTTTGTCCCACACTGGGAACACTGTGTTCCTGTGTGAAGCCTGCATGAGGAATGCCGGGCCATGCACCTGCATTCCAAATAGGAGGGGAAACTTGAGATGAAGGGTGGCGGCGCCTTTCTTTCTTAGAAAAACCCCAAATTCTTCTTGTCCATCCGTGACTTTGCATATTGAGCAGCCTTGTCGGTAAACAGCACGCCGTGCTTTTTTAAATTGCTCCTTCACATCAATAAAAGCCATAAAAGGTGCCGGAGTCCATCTAGAGTGACCGTTCTGGTCACACACGTGTGCCGTGTTGCGTAACTTGTGCCATGATGGTAATTTTTTTATCTCTAGGTTTACAAACATGAGAGACAGGAGGATTGTCGATGAAGCCAGAGGTTACTGTTAACTCCATTTTCTGTTTTCTGACCAAAACGAAGCTAAAAATGTCTTTTCTTTTTAAACAGGGAAGGTTTTTTTTTTTTTTTTCCTGACTGATGTGCAACCAGGTTGTTATCGGTTAATTTTAACATGATGTACCTGACTTTTTAATTACAAACGGCACAAGCCTCATCTCAGAAAAGGCGTCGATGTGCCCGCTTTTAAGATGTATTTAACGAGTGTTCTGTTTTTATGTTGTCGTACATATTTAAATATGTATTTTATGGAATATTAAAAGTTTTTTTATAAAGCATTTGTTTGCCTGTGCATTTTTTGTACTCGTACTACTCTGACCCTCGATTCATCATTCTGTTTCCAGGCTTCCAGTTTTAAAATGCTATATTTGGTCTGAAGAAAACCGATTTAAGTATGTGGGAGTGGGTGGAGAGGAAGAGATTGACGGTTTTAGGGGTTACGGGTCAGCACGTTCAGATGTCCTGGGATTTATTTAGAATTTTAGTCATGTGACTCATTTCCCAGGGTTATTTCTCTAGTTCTTTAAAATTGTTAAAATCTGACACCTGCAACCAAAGGTGATTCATCTCCATCTGCATGGGTTACTGCAGCGTTTGAGAATTTCATGCCTCACTTTGGAGGAAAAGTGAAGAAGTCCATATATTTTGGAGTTAATTTTCCTAATGATACGGAGCTCCCCGATAGCCTGCTTCTGCTTCCTTCCTATTTTGTACCATGGCATGATTTACAGTTCAAAACAATCCTTATTTCTCTCATACTAGGCTTCGTGCAGCCCCTCACCTCATCCTCTGCACCAACAAGATACTTTAGCCCCTCCCCCTTTAAGCCATCTTTCTCTTGATTGGCTTCCCCTTCCAAACAGAAGCACCAAGCACATAGAGCACTCTGATTTCTGAGCTTTTGGCTCCCAAGGATTACTAGTTTTTGTTTTTTTGTTTTGTTTTGTTTTTGTTCCTACATTAATAAAAGGCCAGCTTGATGTAGCTCACAGTATATGCAAACAATCAGAATCACACTTCTGCAGAAGAGCCGTGCACCGCGGCGCTGCCGGAGCTCTCTCTAAGTCGCTGCAACTCGAGCAGGGAGTGTACATGAAGACGCCTGAGAGGCTTCACCTCTTCCACCACTGAAAGGAAGAACAAAACAAAACATCATCACGGACACTCAGCAATGCTCTTAAATGATTATGTATCCAAGCTAAGTATGTTAGGAGAAAGGCTTCAGGTTTCATGCCTTTAAAATATAGCTAAACAGCACCACCTGCTGGTATAGTAAACCAAGAGTGATAAAGGTTCGCACCTTTGTCATAATGCAACTCGTCCCGGTTGCCGTAAACCACGTACATCTCCAGGAAGTTAAGGAGAGCTCCCGTGACAAGAAAGCGTTCGGCGAGAGGAAGACTTTTGATGTAACGCATGTCCAGGGCGAACGGGTTGGACGGAGAGGGAACGGTGCAGAGGCACACCAGCTCACTGACAACGTCCCACACACGAGTTGCTGACGAAGGACAAAAGAAAGAAAAGTTTGTTTTTATTGTGAGATGTCATGCACTGCACATAAACATATATGCATTAACCAAAGCACTAGGAGCCTTTTTCCACGGCCCTAATCCACCGTAAATACTGATCTCCGCGAGGCTCGAGCTGCAGCACAGACACATCTGCATCTGATTTAGCTCATGGAAAATGGTGTAATTATTGAATCAGTGCACTGAAACAATAACTTTCTCCTGTTAGGATTCCACACATTGTTTCCATACCTCGCGTCTGCCAGTCTGCAATCGACTTGAGTTTCATGGGCGTGTCTTTGACCATCGAATCTGTGCCACCGATGTTGACTAGGCGCTCGTGATTGGAGCGTATCCACGCGTAGGGGCGTCCGTATTTGACGTAGCCGGCCAATAGAAACAGAGTGCAGTTCACCTCCTGTTAGAGGGGGACAAAGTGTGGGCTGCGAGGCTGACTGAGCAATTTAAATAACAGAGGCAAGAGAAGAACGCTTATACTGGCTTCTGCACTTCGCCTCCTTGCAGGTACTTACGGGTACTGCTATCTCCCTTTCACTGGGAGATGCTGGGAGAAGATGCTCCTCGATGCAGGCCTCCCTGTGACTGCAGAAAGAGCTCCAATGATTTATCAGTTTCATGCAAACCTGGAGAGCCAGTAGGAAGTTTCTACTCATACCTCCGCATCTAAATCCTCTTACATGTATCATTTTTTACCCAGTTAGGAGGAGATTACTTTCCACGATGCACAATAAAAAATACTGCAATTCTTAAAATGCCTCAAACAACCCAAGCTGCCCTCTGAACCCAAGCACATACGTGTTACTATCCACACGCACACACAAACTTGCAGTCAATCACCTGGCAGTCTGTGGCTGTGTCTTGGTATGTGACCGGGAGCCTCGTGGGCCCGGAGGCTCCCCGGGCAGGGGGGAGCTGCTACGGCTGGTCAGACTGGGAGAGCTGCTGCTGGGAGAGACATCACTGCTGTTACAGCTGCTGGTGGAGGAGTAGGAGGAGGCTCTGGACACCATAAAGCCTGGGGAACGCCAACCCTGCGAACAAAAATAAAGGGAAAGGGAGAGAAAGCTGCTGTAGAAGTCATAGATGTGCCTTGGATAAGACAGTGAGACTGGGGAAGTGTGTGAGTGTTTCACTTGGACTGTACTGCCAAAAGTATTCACTCACCCATCCAAACCATTGAATTTTGTAAAAATCGAGCACCTAGGCATGCAGATTGCTTCTACAAACATCTGTGAAAGAATGGGTCACTCTCAGATCAGTGAATTCCAGCTTGGTACTGTGATAGGATGTCACCTGTGCAACCAGGCCAGTTGTGATATTTCCACACTACTAAATATTCCACAGTCAAGTGTTAGTGGTATTATAACAAAGTGGAAGTGGAAGAGCGGGTTCAGCGAATGACCTCTGCACACCAACTTTCTGCAGAGTTAAGACGCGTTCTGTGGAGTGGCGACTCACGCTTCTCCGTCTGGCAATCTGATGGATGAGTCTGGGGCTGGTGATTGCCAGGAGATGGTACTCGATGGTGTCTGACTGCACTGTGCCAAATTTAAAGTTTGGTGGAGGGGACAATTTTATGCTTCCAACTTTGTGGGAACAGTTTGAGGATGGCCCCTTCCTGTCCCAACATGACTGCACACCAGTGCATGAAGCAAGGTCCATAAAGACATGGATGAGAGAGTTTGGTGTGGAAGAACTTGACTGGCCTGCACAGAGTCCTGACCTTAACCCGACTGAATACCGTTGGGGTTAATCAGAGAGGAGACTGTGAGCCAGGCAGTGTCTGACCTCACAAATGTGCATCAGGAAGAACTGTCAAAAATTCCCATAAACACTCCTGAACCTTGTGGAAAGCCTTCCCAGAAGAGTTGAAGGTGTTATAGCTGCAAAGGGTGGATTGACATCATTTTAAATGCTAGGGCTTTAGAACAGGATGACACTCAAGCTCAAATACCTTTTGGCAGTATAGTCTATATAATCACCCAGTTTCTCTACAGAAACTCACCAGATCCTCATTAACAACTGTCAGCAGCAACTCTTCTTTCCCCCTGAGCCAAGGCTGGAAGTATTTAAAACCCTGCAAAGGAAGCAATGTGATTTTGTGATTTTGCGAGAGGTGAGCCGAGCGTGCACGCGCATGCTGGTGTGGCCAAACCTGCAAGGATCCGAGCAAAGCAAGGTCACCGAGGAAGTGCTGCAGTTTCCTCTTCTGCTCCCTCTCTCGTTTCTGTTCACACATGCACACAGACAGCACAGCGATCTGAACATAACGATAAAAATGACGGCACCACTCCAGCGGGCATCAGCACCCTCTCCCTGCCTGGTATCATAGCAACACTTGCAACGCCTCCTCCTCCTCCTCACCCTGCAGGAGCACCCTGCACCCCCATCAATATTAGTGACAATAAACCCTCCGTTTGTGAAATGAGTCAAAGCACGGACACATGCTGAGAACAAAGAGTGGCATGCTGATATAAAAATGGATCGGGCTGCTCTAAAATCGCACCGATTCACAAACCCCTCACAGCTCATCGTGAGGTAAACGATACTCACACCGGAGCTGCTCATCTTAGGCCAAACTGCGGACGTCGTCGTCTCCCTCACAGGTGCGCACGCTGTGTTTCTATAAGCTGCTGCATGTCA